AAGATGACAGTTTTTACTCTTAACAATAAACTGTTAAAGATCGGAACTTTTAACAATCATTATTTCACAAAAGTGACATTATACCGCCTTTAATCATTGCCGCCGCTGCTTAAGATAAACAAACTGTCAATAAAAAATCTTTAATCATTGCCGCCCTTAATTAAATGTGTCATTGATTGCAAAAGTTAAACCAATTAAAAATGAAGGAGAATATTCCTACAAATGTGTTCAATCATATATAAAATCAAAATGATCGCTGATATTTTGTGTAAGGACTTCATGTACTGATTCAATATGGATATGAATATCATTTTCTAATCATAATGACGATGATGACAGTTCAATTTACTATAACATGTGTATAATATATTCTTTGCAAGCTTAATTGCTTTTTTGTTCTTATCAATTGTTCTTTTATTGTTTTGCCGCTGCAAAAATGTATATACCTTTCAATTAAACAATATTATATAATATATATATTCAACAGCCACGGGAGGGAAATTGTCCGCTCTGACAACAGCGGGAGGGGAATTGTCCGGGTTGTTAAAAGAACGGGAGGGGAATTGTCCGGGTTGATAAAAGAACGGGAGGGGAATTGTCCGTCGTAAAAAAATAACGGGAGGGGAAATGTCCGGGTTGTGAAAAAACATTCAAATTTACTGGGAGGGGAATCGTCCGGGAGGGGAATTGTCCGGATACCAGTTTTCACACCAGTAATACCGCCCTCTCTGTATGAGACATGCATATAACAAATGAGACTCCTGGACCCCAGTATCGTCAATACCCCAAATGAGTGACATCATCATTAGTAATTCAGGTGTATCAAAGCTCTTGGTCAACCTCAATTCCAACAAAGCTGCTGGCCTTGACAACTAAGATCAAATGTCGTGAAGGAGCTAAAAAGATTGCTGACACTGTCTCTGTCAAATGTGTCTGACCACCGGCAATATTTCCTACAACTGGACCAGTGCAAATGCATGTCATGTTAACAAAAAAGGTGATCCAGCATACTATCACTCAGTTTCCCTAACATGCATTCTCTGCAAAACACTCGAAAACATAGTTGTGTCAAGCTTTAGAAATGTTCACTGTTTAGGGGAGAAGATGTGTAAGCGGCAGGAATACTCAGTCGACGGTCCCGCAGAGCGGTATTCGGAGGGTTAAATGTTCGAGTCCTGGTCAGACCGGACGTTTTTCTCACTCTGGGACAAAACAACAATACTTTTATTTGTAAATAAAGGCTTCCGGTCTTATAATACAGCGAATTTGACATAACATCATACATTTAAGGTTGTGTCATGTTATTATACATTTCATGTTTAATTATGGCTGTACAAAAAGCAATCGATTTTATTTTATCATTATCGGAACAATTCATTGAATTACAAAAATATTCATACTCATATCTAATGTTATAACTGCTGTCGTTCGTGTCTGCATTTATTACATGAAATTCATCTTCAGTAGTTCGTAACTTAATTGGAAGACCAAGATTTCGACCAGTTTCAGTTAATAACTTGTGACTTGAACAACAAAATTCAGCTTTTCTAACATAAACTTTTCGGACACAATACACACAGTGGAAGTCTAGAACATTCTCCCAAAGCCATACAATCATTTACAGAAGAATTAACTCCAAGAAAATCTGAACAATATTGAACTTGTTAAAAAATATCCGAGTATTCTGTACCATATACTAATATTTCAATACTATACGTAAGAATAGGCTTCTTAATAGAATCAAATAATTTAAAATATTCGTCATGTAAAAGATAACATGTATAACAAGATTTTATGACAAAAATAGATTTCCTTGCTTGTGCAGCTTTGTTTTCGCTATAGACAAAAAAAAATAATGTTCGTGTGAATAAAAGTCCCATATATTTGTAAAGTACTTCTATATGTAACATTTACGGGCGAATTATTATATAACAAAATTTCAACAGTTCGTAAGCTAGGGACCGCCATTTCGCAACACGATTCTCATTTATAGCCAAGCCTGTATCACTACAAAGTTTAACTATTAATTTCTAACTAAATTGTTGTTTCAGCACAATTTGCAACGCCATTTGCGAAAAGAATACATGTGATGTCATGAATTTGATTCGTCACGAAGATGCCTCGGTGGTTTTTTTGTTCGTATATAGCGAGATAACTCATTAATATATAAATTATATATTATCGTACTAGTTATGTCCCCTTGCCTTGTGCCATGTTACAGTGAAACGGCTAAGATACATAGAAGTCAATACACGTAAAATATTCACTGATGTAAACTAGTGAACAATTTATGATGCAAAAGACCAGCAAAAGATTTTAAAAAATCAACATATAAAACATAAAATCTACCACAAGGTTTACTAATGTATTTTTGTAATAAACTTTATAAAGTACTCATATTATCAACAATGGAATATCCTGCTCTAAAACCTGCTTGAGATTCGTCTTGTTTGTAATATAGATTGGGGCTCATGTAAATAGTCTATTGTAAAGGATATTCGAGAATATTTATCAACGATATAGATTCTACATGTATAATTTGACAGGATTTATGTATCTCCACATGTCAGGAAATTTGCCTGTTTCTAATATCTTATTAAATTATAATAATATCTTATTAAATCTAGTACAGTCCCTGGGGACCGTTTTTGTGCAAAAAAGGTCCATGGATAAATGTTATATCAATGTAAAGCTAAATATTTGAAGTTTACAAAAAATTTGGGTAGACATGTCAAATCATGGTAGAGCAATAGCACCTTAATTCGACATACCCATTAATTCGACACCTTTTTTTACAAACATCATGAAATCCCAGAATTATGCGTTTTAACTGATATTTTGATCGGTATTTACATTCATCATTCATTTGATGACGTCATGAATAAAATTCAGACCACATATGCACCGATTTCGCTGACATTGGTTAGTACAAGAGTGTGGCTCGAAAATTCGAACATTAAAAAGTCGCTTCTTAGGGAAACCTGTAAGAGGTCGACCTATGTAACAGTAAAACTACTATTTATTTTTTGTCAAGTTGTGCTATTGTTAACTTTTTAAACACACTTATTGAAGTTGTTCTTCAAACTGGACCTTCAACAGCATGTCTAGGAGTTATATTTCCAGCCAAGGCATGAGTGTCGAACTTAGGAACCAAATTAAAAAGTATGTTCGTTATTTCGACACATGTGACTGAATCAATCCAATTTAGAACTAACTTAAATCAAACTGACCAAATATGGCATTCCATGCACGTACATTATTGTATTTGGCTGTGGACGAATAAGTATTAATTAGAGTATATAAATGTTACTCCGTTAACGATGTTTGTTATTGAGGTAGATTAGATGCCGCTAATAAATTCTCATGTAGAAAAATACATTTCATTAGTAATATGTAATGGTAATGTTTCGTGATGCTGTTGGTATACAATGCTTTTGGTTTAAATGAACTTCAGCAATAGGTATATTAGTGTTTTACAGTTTAAATTACATATTGATGCCTAATTGTGTACACATGTCAAGTGAAGCTAATGAAAAGAAATATGGCAGATGTTCGCCATCCAAGTTGATCAACACTATTTCTATATATGGTTCAAAGTGGTGTAATACACCGTAATATCAAAGAAGATAAAAACAGCAATGATATTTGGCATCCTGACTGATAAGCGAAAATGCACCAACTAGTTTGAATCCAAACAATGCGTGCTGACTGTTACAGTATTATACATGTTATCCGCTTATCTGTTATAAAGTAAAGATTACAAGTCTAAGATCATTATGTATGGAAAAAAAATACTGTTAGGAGACTATTTACATAGAAAAGAAACATTTGCCGGTATCGGTTATTTATAAAACCGGTAGGCTACAAGCTACACCGGCTCCCTTAGTAAAGTGACAGACTTGCTTTGACTTTGGGCCATTAGAGATATAATCAATGGTGAGTATGAACTCTACCGATTATGTTTCAGAGAAAACTGATGATTTAAACTAAGAACTAATCTAAAAAAACAGGAAATGTTTCCGCTATAAAGCCTGTCCGTATTACATAATGTGCACTAGCTGCTGACGCAATGTAATTGGAAATCCCCGCTTCAAAGATTAATAATTAACCTTTTTCTCTATAATCAAATTATGTGTGTAAGACATACAAAAATGTATCTACACAAGTCGTGGATATTTTTACTAATTCAAGAGATGAACTGATCGTGTTTTTATTACAATATTCTGTCATAATCATGTTTGGCTCGTAAAGTGTTATTATTAGCGTTGGAATTCATTTTATTTGTATATTATTTGAACTTTTAATGTATTTCTTAAACCTTAATTAGGGTGTCGAATTTAGGATCACCATGTCGAAATACCGGACCCTCAACGGACAAAGCTTATACTATCATTACATGGAAAACCTTATATGCTACGTAAGAAGTAGTGTTTGAAAAGGGCGCGAAAATGTCGGATACTGTAAAGTGCGGTGTCGAAATAAGGATAAACATAAAAATGTTAAATTGTAACGAAAATTTATCGTAAGGTGTCGAAATATGGGTACTTTACTCTACGTTATCTTTTCCCTTTCAATTTATTAAAAGTTGCCTCTTAAATGTGTTCTTATTCATACTCAATGTTCTTCAGCATCATAGTACTGACTTATCTGACTTATTTGTAATGTTTATCATGCAGTAATTTTAAACCGTTGCATCGATTTATTTTGTAAATATTGACTTAAATTATGAACACACCCGTTAACTGGTTGCAAGTAGATCAGTTGGTAACGGGTAAAACAATTACGCTTTCCTGCAATCGATTGCTGCACAATATATCATAGAAATTTATGTCTATAAAGATATCTTGGTAATCTTTTTCTATAATAAGTTCTACCTGCCTAGAACAATCGCTATATGTAAACGGCTGTGTCACGTAACGGATTATCGGAATAACTCGGTCATCTGTGTACCACCACCTACACCGTGAAGTCGAGTGTACACTTCGGACAGCCTTCACGGTTTATAAACACTTTTAATCCGTGTTCTGTGTACTATGTAAATATACATTATCGATTGCTTGAATGAATATCGGAATGTTAAACAGGGTAGATATTTAACCAGGTTATTCTACATAATTTCTATTTATGATATCTTGCGAAATACATAAATGATTTCAAAATGAATATCGGATAAAACGAAATACACTCACACAGAAGTTGGACTTAGGCCTATAGGGATAAAACTAATTTTCTTTACGATTTCAGCAACAGGTAAGAAACTTTTAAATTAACATATAAATCCAGATAAAAGTGGCAATTCGGCATACACAAACAAACAAATGCACCATGCCATTTACAAAATGTGACAATTATGAACAATAAAGCATATTTGAAGCCCACGACCAATATCATAATTATATTTTGTCGTGGTAACCATGTAAATACATACAACCTGATCTATAAATGGAGTGTATGCAATTGACTCTAAACTACAACTGCTATAAAGTTGAGAATATCGAACCAGAGCTACATATATTTATTTTGCATACAATATTGATTATTATCAATTATTCAACATGTTCAAGACGGTACAATTCTATAAGATACAGTATCTTCGTATAGGGTAATCGTACATACGATACATTGATTGCAAAGTAATTTTTCTGATATATAAAAAAAGAAATATACAAAATATACAATCAAATTTGTGCTATAATGTTGTTTATTTTGCTGCATGTTGACATTGTTTAACTTTTTATAAATCTGGCTGAATATCCGACGGTTGTCTCGAGACCATCACTGTATAACGTATGAAAGATGTGTACAAAAGTCCAAAGGCAATAAAAAGCAGTAACAAAACAGTACAAATCTGTAAACTTAAACAGTTATTCACTTTGCCCATAGTCATTTTCTTTTTGTTTGTGTGAGTATATTTAAGGTAATAACTTAAGTATAGTATAATACTGTCTTGAAAGCACATGTTTGTAATCTCTCTTTTCACATGATCTACTAATCAAAAAAATCTTTATAAACTGCATTTTTACATACAACAACAAATATAGTTTTCTTCTATAAAAGGTTTAAACACGGAGTACTATGTTGACACTGTCAAAGGCAACTATTAATCTAACAACTAAGTTATATACATGTATCATTAACTTTCCCAAAACTTTTGAAAAAAATTCGGGGCTAAAAAGTTTTTAATCGTTTAAAAAAGTTAAAAGGGCCCAAAAAATTTATGCCTCTGAAACGTTTAATTTTTTTTTTTAAAATAAGGGAAAAAAACGTGGGGTTTAATAATGAAAAAGAAAATTTTTGGGAAAATTTTAAAACAAAAAAGGGTCGCATTACGAGAAAAAATTTGTCCCCAAAAATTTTAAAACAAAAAGAATCCCCCTTAAAGCTGTACCAAATTTCAGAAATGGTCAATGAATAATTTTTTTTTAAAAAGTACAAAAAAAAGAAAAAAACATATCTTGAAAAAACAATTCCCTTTAAAAAAAATTGATTTTAAAATTTAAAATCTTAACTTTCAAAAATAATGTAATAAAAAATTTTTCATTTTTGGGTAAAAATTTTAAAATTCTAAAAATGGAGACGTTCAATATTACCTGGTGACCTGGTCAATGTTTTATCATATTGTTCTAATTAACTCACTAATTAGATGACGTAGAGCACTTGTATTGATTACGTCTTATATCTAGCTAGCGTTCATTGCATGTTTTCCTGAGAAATATATGATCCACACGAGAAATTCTCGTTTTCAGTCATATCAACAATGAATGCTAATTTTTACATGATATTTTCCCATTACACTAATTACAGTGTCATTTTCTCGCGTTTAACATTTACATATCATAATGTCAGATAGATTTCTCGTCAGATGGACATTTTTACAAAAATGCAATAATATGTTCATAAATACGTTTGTTCTATGATGTATAAATGAATTGACAAACAATAATGCTTTTAGCTTGTTGACAGAAACTAAACACTGTTCAAACAGTGACAGTTTAAAGGATTTTATCTCGACTATATCTGTTTGCGTATAAGTTCCTATCTTGCTCTCTCTCACTCTTAAGCAATGGAAACAATTAAAAAAAATGAGCCGCGTCACAACAAAACCAACATAATGGGTTTGCGACCAGCATGGATGCAGACCAGCCTGCGCATCCGCGAAGTCTGATCAGGATCCATGCTGTTCGCTTACAAACCCTATAACAAGTAGAGAAACTGATAGCGAACAGCATGTGCGCGAATGCGCAGGCTGGTCTGGATCCATGCTGGTCGCAAACCCATTATTTTGGTTTTGTCGTGACGCTGCTCAAATTATGAAAAGTGCAGACTCGCTTTAACTGAGTCTGTTTGTGAGCAATAATGTAAATATGCACATTTCTCACTCCTCAAAGCACCGTTTTAAGTGGTTTTAAGTGGTTTGAAATCGTTCACACTAAGTACGTATGCTGTAATCAAAGATATTTATTTACTTATTTGACAATAATTATTTCTTTGAAATATTACCCCTCTCCGCAATATGGCATTAACATTATGTAATGTTACCCCGTCGCGTGTTCAATATCTGTATAACTTTCCCCGTCCGCAAAATGTCAGGTACAATTTACCCCACTATTCAATACGGTATTAGCAGTTTCTATAGAATTTTAACCTTTTTCTGCAAAATGACAGTTACAATCTCTCTGTAATTTTTTATCCAGCCCCGCAATATAAAAGTTACGATTTCTATGTTAGTTTACTCCGTCCAGCAATATAAAATTTACAAATTCTATGTAATTTACCCCGCCCAGCAGTATGACAGTTACAATCTCACGCCCGGCACACTGTCGCTCCACTTCAAAATTGTGGTGTACGGTAAAACGAGCGTCGATTTAAACGGCTAATTGTAAATATTGTTTATGTTTTTGTCTTGTTATTCATTTAAGTTGTATTTTTTCGAAAAAAACGGAAAATGTAGTTCCGTGTAGGATTGATTTAGGCATTCAATTATCTAATATGTTACAAAAAGAAAATTATATTAAATCCGGGAGAACTTTTCTCCCTGACGAAGCGAACGACGATTTGTAGAGTATTACACTTCCCAACCATAAAATGCCATACCCTTCAGATTTCTTGAAAAAGTGTATTAGTAAAATATCAACCCGTAATAAGAACTTGTCCTTCGTGCAAAATAAATTACTCCCGAAGGATTTCTTAAATTTGTAAATCGATACTTTACGAAAGTAGTGGAGCCAAAGGGCAAGAGAGTGAGCAAAAGGTTCGATGTTGAGCGCAAGGCGATATTAATTTGACGTATTAGGAGGAGCGTAGTCTATGATTTATAATATATAAAAGCTATAGAAGTTAAAATAGACATGATCAAGTGTTGAGACCGAGATATATATTTACCTTTTAAAGACAACTAATATAATCGCGAAGGTGTCACCGATAGCTGTGCTATGTAGATTCCATTATTTATGTTCCAAATTTGGATGAGGCCCGACTATTGAATAATACACATGTATGCATGGCATAAAACAGGATGCCACTTATTCGAGGTCAAGTAATAGAAAGAGCATCGAAACACGAGGCTATCTGATTTGTACGAGGGGGGCGTAGCCCCCGAGTATTAATCAGATTGCCGAGTGTTTTGATGCTCTTTCTCTTTTGTATCATAGTCAAACATGAAAACACGATCTCTGTTGTCACAATATGAAACCCCGGCAAAAATAACCAATGAACGAACATCTGAATATGATATTTCTGACGCTTTCCCTTTCTCTGCCGTCACAATATGTAAACCCCAGCAAAAAAGAGCCAATCAATGGGCATGCTCTGGAGTGCAGGTAACTAATACCTGCACTCCAGTTAACGCACTGTGCATGTATATGTATACGAATTAACTCTGACACATTTTCAACAGAAAGGTCCCCAAACTATGATACAATCATGATTTTTGACATGGTTATGCACATTTAAAAACGTGTGTTCGTGCAAATTCGACAAAATCGAATATTATCAGTTCTACCGCGAACAAATGTTTACGAGCAGGTACGTGTAACGCGATTCTTCACGCCAAAATGTTATGTTTTTCGAGAAGTTAGATATTCAGGATGCAGGTCAGAAACAAAATTATGCAATGCAAGGGACACATTAAATTAAACTACTACCGATCTCAGTTCACAATGACTTTCTGTAATTAATAGCTCTAACTAACATGTTGTAAAGTGTCAATAGAAATGTTTACTTTTATAATCAAACACTGCAGTACAAATCTTGGTTTTAAAAAAATTAAATTAAAAAAAAATCTGTAAAATTTTGTTTGTTTATTCAAAGAGAATCTATGAAGAAAACGAACGTAATAAAAAAGGCAGAGCTCAGTGGTGTACGGACTAAAATTATCAATAATTGATAGGGAAATAAATTTCTATTTACACTTTGAGAGGAAAATAATAAACTAAACAACAATGCTAAATAAGGGAGGAAGTATCTTGAAACATAACTGAAACACGTGTTATATCCTTATAACGACTGACAATTTGTCAACAATTTTCACAGCGATTCCCCACCTTACACATTCATGAAAACGTGGCTTATTTGTGTTTGCTCTGATTATGTACGTTAGAGCTTAGTATTAATGAGAACTGAATTCGGTAGTAGTGATCCATTTAATTTAATGTGTCTCTTGCATTGCATAAGTTTGTTTCTGTTCTGCACCCTGAATATCTAACTTTTCGAAAAACATAACATTTTGGCGTGAAGAATCGCATTACACGTACCTGCTCGTAAACATTTGTTCGCTGTAGAACTGAAAATATTCGATTTTGTCGAATTTGCACGGACACACGTTTTTAAATGTACATAACCGTGCCCAAAAAAAATCATAATTGACCTCGAACAAGTGGCATCCTGTATTACGCCATGCATACATGTGTATGATTCAATGGTCTGGTCTCATCCAAATTTGGACTTTAAACAATTGAATCTATTCGGCAGCCATATGTGACACCTTCGCGATTACATTTATTACGCTATACAGCTGTAGTTGTTAAAAGGATATCACACTTTATTAGTTGTCTTTAAAAGGTAAATATATATCACGGTCTCAACACTTGATCATGTCTATTTTAACTTCTATAGCTTTTATATATAAAAATCATAGACTACGCTCCTCCTAATACGTCAAATTAATATCGCCTTGCGCTCAACATCGAACCTTTTGCTCGATCTCTTGCCCTTTGGTTCCACTACTTTCGAAAAATATCAATTTACAAATTTAAGAAATCCTTCGGGAGTAATTTATGTTGCACGAAGGACAAGTTCTTATTACGTGTTGACATTTTACTAATACACTTTTTCAAGAAATCTGAAGGGTATGGCATTTTTATGGTTGGGAAGTTCAATACTCTACAAATCGTCGTTCGCTTCGTCAGGGAGAAAAGTTCTCCCGGGCTTAATATAATTTTCTTTTTGTAACAGATTGGATAATTCGAAGCCTAAATCAATCCCACATGGAACTACATTTTCCGTTTTTCGAAAAAATACAACTTAAATGAATAACAAGACAAAAACATAAACAATACTTACAATTAGCCGTTTAAATCGGCCTTCCGCTCTATCTCGGAAATGCCGTTCGCTCGTTATACCGTACACCACACTTTTGAAGTGGAGCGACAGTTTGCCGGGCGTGAATCTGTATGTTATTTTACCCAGCCCTGCAATATGACAGTTACAATTTCTATGTAATTTTATCCCACCCTGCAGTATGACAATAACAATTTATATATTATTTTACCCCGCTCAACAGTAAGACAGTTTAATAACATCTGTCATATTTTGCTGTTAGGATCGGAATATCCGTCCCGAGGTGACCCGCCCATTGGGCGGTAACGAGGCTTGCCGACTTACCGCCCATGGGCGGGTGACCGAGGGATCCGAACCGCAAACATATGTCAGATGTTTTTTCTTGCATATTCTACCATATTCGATTATATTTTAAATTCTTTATCTTTATTTTCAATGAAAATTTATATCATTACAACCGTAACTACTTTCTTACAACAGCGTATGAATTACAACTTCATTCATAACGGTAAAATGACGTCATCCTAAGCGTGCCATTGTACAGCACGCGACTCATCTGGAACCCCCCATGCCAGATGAAATTTCCGGCATGGGTAAAACTCACGGAAACGCCAGTCTGATATGCAAGAAAATATTTTCTCAAACTCCGCGCACCGGTTACGCTACGGCCAGTAACCACTGCCTTCACACAAATCACGTGATGATGGTCTTATCACATGATTGTGTAAAAATGGCGTATACGCCAATGAAATCGTTGAAAAAATTAATAATCACTTGAATGATTTCTCTTTCGAGAGGGGCCTTTGTTTTGGAAATAAACGGTGCGATATTAAAATTTTAAAAAATTATTTTCATAATATTTATGTTTCCAAAATTATTTTTTTTATTTTAGTTCACATCTATCACCTAACGGTCTTGAAACATTAGCAAAACTGTGTTTACTTTTTAAAAAAATATCAAAATTGAAAAAATTCATATCGTCAAAAATCTTAAGATGGCAGAGAACTAATCCTGTAAGGGGAGATCACTGCGTAGGAGATTGATATTTTCTATGTAATTTTACCCCACCTGCAATACAATAGTTACCATTTCTAATATATGGTATTTCTTTTCATAATAAAAGCAGGTGAAGATCAATAATGCCGGACGACAATAGATGTCTGTTTATGATAGTTGGCGGTATAGTGGGTGCTATAGCTCTTGTCTTGGTCATTGTTTTACCAATGAGTTTTGTAACTCTAGAATATCACGAAGTAAGTATTTGTTTTACCAAAGTAACGTTATTTTGTAACTCTAGAATATCACGAAGTAAGAATAATGCATCTAACTAGACTTATCTGAAAGCTGAAAGACATATTTTGAGATGGTTTTAAGTATACCTTTGCGGTAAAACAATATCAAATTAAAACAATATCAACGATTAAACCAACATCTATGAGATTGAACCTTAGTGGTAAAACAACAGCTGTAATTAAACCTTAAACACTATCAACTATTAGTATTTTTATATAGTTATTGAACCGTCCGCCCGTACGTCTGTGTCTAAACGGCAAAATGGATATATCTTAAGTTCTACTTATGGAACACTCATACTTATCAACACAAAATTCATAATACTGTATTGCTAAGTTATATGACTGTGCATTCCATTTTCCCACGTTTTTTCCTCTTTTATCACATTTAAAATAAGATTTAAATTGTAAGATTAACCTTTCTGGCAAGTTGGATATGTTTTAAATTTCTACTACCTTTGAGAATCAAGGTCAATGTCTACTGTGCTTACAATCTTTACACTGCCTTTATTTTTTTGACCAGTGTCTTTTATATTTGGTAGAAACATACCTAGAGTAGTCGTGTAACTTTGGTTTGAGTTAAGGATCACTTGGTTTAAGGTCAGAGTCTTGCTGTTATATCTACCGGGTATTTGAATAACTTCTGTTTTTTAAGTTAAATATTTTTCAACTTTATCAATGACATACCAACTTCCGAATGACTGTGTTAACAAAATCTTTTAACAATCTTTCCTTCCATAACAGATTGAAGGGTATCATTTTTGAAAAAAAATATTACTGACAAGAATCTGGGCCGGGGTTATTTGTGTTTAACAAACACGTTCTTGTTTTAAAAATCAGTCGTAAATGGTCAGGATTCACACAAATAATAAGGTTGGAAAACATCATTGTTATTTCGAATTATTGTCCGTGTCATGAATTGGCCTAGTTTTGATAAATCAAATCTGCCTTGACAAAAGATAGGCTACGAAAGTCAGTTTACAGGGTATCCGGTTTCATTGATACAGATGTAAAAAACTTTAAAATTCTCTTTTTAAGTATGGATTTAGGCGGCAGAAAAGTACGGGGTGGGTAGATACAGAAAAAGTCTATTCTGGCGGGAAGCATTTTCTTGGGCCGGACTACGAATTTAAGACGTTTCCAGCGGACGCCCAGTTCTTAGATCTTAATTACATTCGAGTATTCACCCGTGATAAGCTCGAGGTATGTAGTTTTTGAAGAGTTACTCTTTGTTTAATCTAGTTCTTTATATTCATCTTCAACATTGTAGATTGGTCACTTTTTGTCATTAAGTTCAGTATATAGATTCCCTAAGCCTTCGGAGATTCTATCCTGCCTTAAAGTCTAAAAATATAGTCTAATTATTACGGTGGCACAAAGGGGACATGTGTATGTTTTATCTCGTGCGCACAAGATACTACTTAGAGTACGTGTTGTGCACGAGAGGATTAAGTGTTGCGCACAAGATACTATGTCATGGCCACGAGTTGCTTAGTCTATTTTGTCTTTTTTTTACGCCGCTCTCAACAATACTGGTCATATCTCGGTAGTCGCTCCACCTTAAAGACTTTCCCGGATATCTAACCATTAATCCGCAAGTGACCAACTTCTAATCCAACAATTTTTCAATTTTTTCTAAATCAGCGGCGAGTGCAAAAAGACCCAGTGCCCTATATCAATGGTCACGTTGAAATTTCGCATCACCCGAATATGGAATCATCGACAAAATATTAAACCAAATATATGAGCCGCGTCACGACAAAACCAACATAGTGGGTTTGCGACCAGCATGGATCCAGACCAGCCTGCGCATCCGCACAGTCTGATCAGGATCCATGCTGTTCGCTTACCAACTCTATAACAAGTATCCTGATCAGACTGCGCCGATGCGCAGGCTGGTTTGGATCCATGCTGGTCGCAAACGCACTATGTTGGTTTTGTCGTGACGTGGCTCATATAGAAAATATTGGTTATAAGAACGGGTCATGCAAGTACATTTATGTTGCATTTTTGGCGGTTTCGATGACCCACTTTTACTAAACATTTTAGTGTAATATACTCTGTTGTAAAAGAAACTGTGAACTTGGTTACTTTGACATTCTCTATGAATTAAGTAAACTATTGGGAAATATGGTATCAGAATTTACAATATTGTATTCAACTCAAAGGTTAACGTGTGTTGGAATTAACAAAACATAAAAAGGGAAAATACTTGTAAAGATTTGTAATGTATAGGATACCCAGCGATTCAAACTTCCCGGAACTACCAGTACAAGTATGGTATGGTGAATAATGACCGTGACCCTTGTAGGACTGGAACCGACAATCCGTATGTCAAGAGAAAGACACCTGAACTACTAGTCCACCGAACCCCTCTTAACTTATTGATGCAATAAATGCACTTTTCAATCTACATGTTCCCCAAATATTTACCCTCGGGGGTTTTAGTATTTTTTGTTGAAAGATTCCGATGAAAGTCACTATTTTTTTGATCGAGTTAAATTGGGAATTGGTATAAAAAATTACACGGTCGAATGATTTCTATTTTTTTTATTTTTTACATTGCAATTATCTAGGTATCAGTCACTGCGCATGCTCAGTACTTTATACGGAAGGACGAATTACCACTACTCCACAAGGCATACGACATATACTACGAAGATGTTATGCGCTCGAGTGCTGTGGATGCCATTAAAGTATGCCATTATCTAACAATTTACAAAACTTCTTATAAGTATATCATTGTTTAACGTATATCATGATTGATTTTCCATATCACAGAAAGTGTAATACGAATTTATATACTTAGGGTGGTTACACCTACGGTTCAAATCCAAGTACATGATGCAGCAAAAAAATGTAACAAGGCGAACATTTACTGAATTTTACAATTAGATGTAACTATATTAACTTATTTCATTAGAGCTGAAATAAACTTTATGAATTTTAAGTGATCAGCCACCCAATATTCAGCCTTTAGTTAAATAATGATAGTAATATGGCATAAATTATTATACAATAAATATATTGCAACATTTACATTTCTTGTATACAGCATGTATTCTCGATAGATTTTATTGTTAAATGTTCTTTGATAATATTTCTTAGTAAGCGTGACTTACATAGACAAAACAAACCACTTGCCCCTCACCGCTGTGGGTTCGAATCCCGACAGGGACTTTGGATTCTTTCATGTGAGGAAGCTATCCAGCTAGCTTACGGAACGTCGGTGGTTCTACTCAGGTGCCCGTTCGTGTCTGAAATAATGCACGGAAGGGCACCTGAGGTCTTCCTCCACCAGTAAAGCTGGAACGTCGCGATATGACCTATACTGTGTCGGTGTGACGTAAAACCCAAAACAAACAAACAAACAAACAAACAAACATAGACAAAATTAGACTTAAGTACTTTCCTCGGTCTATTTTCATATTTAACGTTCCTGGCATATTTCTATTATAATTTCCCATGACGTATTTCAGTAGTTATCATCCTTGACGTATTTAAATGGTTATCTCCCATAGCGTTTAAAATAGTAATTCTTTTGACTTTCTTTTTATATTTCCATTCCTTTACTCTTTTAAAAGTTATCTCCCCTAATGTGTTTTTTTCCAAAATTACTTGCCCTGAATAATGCTACTTGTTTACTTCTTTATCTTTTCAGATATAATGTTTCTATTTATAGTATTTAATCCGTTGAACTGAACATTTATTTCATTTTTAAGGGTGCTCTCCCAGTTTATAATACAACAGAGTTGAAAACAAAACGTCGGGAAATCGAGGCTGTAATTTACAAGGCTGTTCGAGAAAGACTAGGGGGACAATGTTGTAGACCAAATTGCGATGCCTACCTTCAAGGTAATTATAGCGCAACATGTCCATTATATTAATATATTCTTGCATGCTCGAATGATGCCAGGACGTTTTTGTGTTGGCTTTTATGTCGCACCAACCATTAAGTTGACTTTCCAGTTTTACTGAAAAACCACAGTTGTCCTACGTGCATTTCAGGCACGAGCAAACACTTTAGTGGAACACCGACATTTCGTAAGCAAGCTTGATAGGTTCCTTTTACAAAAGAATCCATTTGGAAGTCCTTGGTGGGATTCGAATCCACAGCATATGAGGGCCAAGTGGTTTGAAGGAAACAATCTCAAATACCCGGCCACGGACGCCCCTAATGCCGGGATCAAAGATATTTGTGATATATATAGTGCTTTTGAGGCTTTTATTTAATGATACAAGCATTTCATCTCTTTTATACAAACTTATTGGCGTAGTTATTAAGGTCAGTGTATATGCCCATAAGGCGATGCTAAGCTGCTGAGTTTCAAATTTGGACTTATCATCAGGTTTTTGCATACAATGTACCATGTAATATTGTCACTTAAAAGTGTGGAATAGATAATACGTAATTTGTTTATATTTTCATTCTTAACTCGGTCATTGTCATATTTCATTCTTGTATTTATCACTAGCATGCGCAGAAGGGTGTATATCTCCTTCCAAATGCAAGGACAGCCAGAAAGGTCTGAACGTAGATGTGAAATTCTTCCAATTAACTGATATTGTCATTCCGAGTACTGTTAGTGAAAGATTCATGGAAAACCTTCTCCTGGTCGAGAAAAATCTACGAGAGCAGCACTTCCAAAATGCTACTGTGATACGGAAAGAAACGGCTGGAAAGGTAACTACGGAATTTAAACGGGTTATTCGGATTATTTTGCATTGTCGTTTATGGGATATGTGTTGCAGGTTGATAATATAACAAATCACACGTAAAATAAATAAAATGATAAAGATCTTGTCTCATTTATTTATCCTACAGATACGATGCCATTATTTTGTTCGATTTAGGAAATAATATAATAATGACAGCGTCAATCCGAGTTTAATATGTAAATATCTATGACTTTTTTTATTTCCAGGTTGCAGAAATAAAAAATCAGGCTAAGGAAATAAGAGAGTTCGCCTCATCTGAAGCCAGGAAATTAAAAGTCGTCTCTGAATCCGAATACACGAGCGCTATTGAGATTGCACGAGGAACTGGACTGAAAAAACTGTATGAGAGTCTAAAAATAACCTCACAAGAACAAATGAACAGTTTCGACTATCTTCGAACGCTGAGAGGATTGGACAATGTACATCTGACTGTTGACTTCCAACAACGTATAGCCGGAAATCTTTGAAATTAATTATAATGAATTCAACACAGTAGTACCGCAATTTCACTTCTTATATATCAATCTTTTCTGTTTGTAACCCAAATTCGGTACTGTATTCAACATATTTCGTCCAAATAATTTTTACACTTTCCTGTTTAGATACATGTATACGAGTATATGTTTTACCAGACAACTTTTCACAGTCTTGTTAGTTTAAGTCTTTAAAAAAAGCTACACATTTTGGTCAACAGAAAGCACCCTTTGTAAGAAAACAGACCCGCAAATGAATTGGATATATGCAAATCTAAATGCTACCTGAGCAAAGATGTGGACCCAAAATATCATGTGATGCTTACCATCCTGTACTTATTGCCCAGTTACTTTGACAGGCTGCAGCTTCAGATAAACCTTAATCTGATGAATTGAGTCATGGCTTTGCCCTGCATTTAATTGGAAACTGTTCATTCAAAGTGCTAGATATTTCTATATTAGACTACAAAAACATTGATCTACAAAACATCATGTAGTAACCTCGTCAGACTGCACAGATATGCTGAAAGGTTTATGAAATGATTATAGTATATATACATGCATATATATAAAGTAATTAACCTTTTAATTACCACCTTTTTCACAACCTGTGAAAAAAATATATTTTTAGAGATAAACATTTATTTTAAAGGCCTAGATTGACTCAGAAATGCTTCTATATCTTTATTGCTAATTTGCTTTTCATTTTCAAGTTTCCATAAAGTACTTCAGTGTCCAATTACCTGAACCATCTTTTGTTTTTGTCGTTTTTTTTTGTGATAAGTACAGTTATAGTGATTTAGTATTTTGTATAGAAGTCAAATGCTACTTTGTTTACATTTTTCTAGTTTTCTTAGAAATGATTTCACATCCAGTGCTAATTTCTTCGCTTGTGAATCTTCTAACATGCTCTAAAATCATTTTTTAAATATCTCATATTTGCCCCTTTAAAGAAGGAACAAATTATTCATTTCTGAGGCATTATGTGCCTTTAAAGTTAATCAGGTACGTATGTTAATATACGTACCTGAGTTAATGCATGTCAAATGTAGTACTGTATATACCTGTATTGTAAACATCCTTTTATATTACTGTGTAATGTTCCTTTGCATTTTATCACCTGTCCTATGTTATTTTTGGGTTGTGATGGGTTTTAGTGTCTTATTGTCATTGCCGATTACATGTATAATTATTTGACGGAAATGACCGAAAAATTAGCAATACCGGCATGCAATAGTCATGACCGGTGTTTCCGGTAGATTCTCTACCGAATGTTTACTGGATCTATAGTATAATAATAAGTCACTAAATTTCCACATAATTTGACTTTGTTCTCTCTTATTTTTTCTCTGACCGAGTTCTTTCATGCTATTTTAGAATATTTTTTTCTTGAAATAAATTTACAAAAACTGTTGTGTAAAAACGGTTGTTAGCAATGAAATTGTTTATAAAAAGCTTTATTTAGAAAATAAAAAGAAAGAACATCATTGTAAAGTAATGTTTGCTTTAACTCTGAGTCATTTGACAAAGAAGACATTGTAAACAATTAAGTCTTTTCACATTAATTTTGCTGAAAATTTTGATAATTTATTTATAGAAGTGATACTTAAAATCGTTATATTGGCACATGAACAATCAGTTAATATTTTATGCAAAAGTAATAACAAGTATTTGTCTGTCTTTGTTAAATATTTTATCTCTCAGGTCTTTTTGTGTGATTTTTTTATATGATCCACGTTAAAAGTATATTTAATATGTAGATCTATTGTATACATGTAAATTATAAAGTGTACATTTGTATAAGTGTAAAGATTTAAATTTTATGATTCTAAACTGTACTGAAACCTTTATATTTTATTTCTATTATCAAACTGTAAAGTAAAAACTAATAAAGATTGTAAATATTAGAAATATTCTCAGTATTTGTTTAGTTCCACTCATTGGTTTGTTCGTTAAGGGCACTCTTCAGGTACATGAAACAATAATTAGTTTTTAAGGAAATGCACGAAGGTTCCATGACCAACTCCGTATGGATAAAATAAAATCTACGGATGATTAGCTTATATAGTTATTCTAAATCACAACTGTTTTAAATATATATGTTGTAATATGGGTAAGCTGGTGCTGGGGGTAAAAGACTGTAACTTTCATTAATAACAAAAAAACAACAGAAATCAACACAAACAACTCACACGAGAAGACAATTAGTTACTGTTGTAGCAACGCTATATGTCGCAACGCCGCTATATGTCGCAACTAACGCTAAATGTCGCAACGCTGACGCTATATGTCGCAATCAACGCTATATGTCGCAATCGCCTACCGCTAAATGTCGCAACGTTGCCGCTATATGTCGCACAAAAATCGATTGCCGCTAAATGTCGCAACCCCTTGACGCTAAATGTCGCACTTGGTAGGAAAGTAACAGATCGAACTGAAACAAAAAGTAAGTGTTAAAACATTTAAAGTTTATACCATTTACACATGAAAACATATCCTAGTAAGCAAACAAAAGTTGTATTTCGCGGTATTTGGCAAAAACCTTGTATGGCCATAGAAACAGTTTTTGATTAAAGGGATGGATTTGGTTCTCAACCACGGACCAGGTGTGAGATCAAACTTTCTCTTTGAGGAAGTCTTTCTCACAAAATGCATCAACAAAAACATTTGGATATACATGTATATTTGTTATATTATTTGACATAACTGAGCAAACCGCTTGTTAATGCTAAGGGGGAACTATATCTTAACATTTTATGTTAATAGCTGTCATTATATATAGTGGTCGAATAGCCCAGTCTAGGTAATTCGAATTTGGTATTTGTCCATAGCAGATATATACTTTTGTATTGAGTAATAAAATGTGAAACATCAGTGTGTTCTCTCTCCGTTTTACGACAGGGGATACAACAATATTTTGATATCCGAAGTACTGTGTCCAATTTCTCATATTATACTGCGCTTTGTTTAAGCCTCGTTTTTTCTCCGTTACATGGATACTTTTGTAATGGTTTGATATTGTAGCTCCATTTTTACTTCAACATGGTTTCGTTTGTGGCGTTTTCATAATGAAGTATCATTTTCATTTTTATAATAATACATTTGCCTTGTTTTACCATTACATGAAATACTTTTGTAAAGTTTTCCTTATTGCAGCCTGGTTTTCAGTGTCACAATACCTTATTGTAGCCTCGTTTTCATTATGATAGGGTTACTATAGTCTCTTTTCCTGCGTTTAACTGTAAAGCGGATATGTTTGTAACGTTTCCTTACTGTTGATTCGTTTACACTGTAACGCGGATATGTTTGTGACGTTTCCTTACTGTTGCCTTGTTTTCACTGTAACGCGGATACGTTTGTGACGTTTCCTTACTGTAGCCTCGTTTTCACTGTAACGCGGATACGTTTGTGACGTTTCCTTACTGTTGCTTCGTTTTCACTGTAACGCGGATACGTTTGTGACGTTTTCTTACTGTAGCCTCGTTTTCCCTGTAACGCGGATACGTTTGTGACGTTTCCTTACTGTTGCCTCGTTTTCACTGTAACGCGGATACGTTTGTGACGTTTCCTTACTGTAGCCTCTTTTTCATTGTTACATGGTTACGTTTGTGACGTTCGTTACTGTAGCCTCGTTTACATTGTTACATGGTTACGTTTTATGACATTTCTTTACTGTAGCCTCGTTTTCATTGTTACATGGTTACGTTTGTGACGTTTCTTTATTGTAGCCTCGTTTTCATTGTTACATGGTTACGTTTGTGACGTTTCTTTACTGTAGCCTCGTTTTCATTGTTACATGGTTACGTTTGTGACGTTTCTTGACTGTAACCTCGTTTTCATTGTTATATGGTTACGTTTGTGACGTTTCTTTACTGTAGCCTCGTTATGGTTACGTTTGTGACGTTTACCTTCTGTAGCCTCGTTCTCATCGTAACATGGTAACGTTTATGACGTTTTCTCCCTGTAAAGCACGTTTTCACTATTACATGGATTCGTTTGTGACGTTTCTTTACTGTAGCCTCGTTATACTAGTTACGTTTGTCATGTTTCCTTTACGTGGCCTCGTTTGTATTGCAATATGGTTACGTTTGTGACATTTTCTAATTACATGTATATTCTCGTTTTGATCGAAACAAGGACACGTTTGTGAATGGTTACTCTATTTCCTGATTTACATGAACACGAACACGTTTATGACATTAAATTATTGTCTCATATTCTCCCTTATATGTTTTATCCTCTTTTTCCTCGTAACACTGATACATTTGTTAACTTAATGTATCGTAGTCTCATTTTTACTTCAACATGGTTTCGTTTGTGGCGTTTTCATAATGAAGTATCATTTTCATTTTTATAATAATACATTTGCCTTGTTTTACCATTACATGAAATACTTTTGTTAAGTTTTCCTTATTGCAGCCTGGTTTTCAGTGTCACAATACCTTATTGTAGCCTCGTTTTCATTATGATAGGGTTACTATAGTCTCTTTTCCTGCGTTTAACTGTAACGCGGATATGTTTGTAACGTTTCCTTACTGTTGATTCGTTTACACTGTAACGCGGATATGTTTGTGACGTTTCCTTACTGTTGCCTTGTTTTCACTGTAACGCGGATACGTTTGTGACGTTTCCTTACTGTAGCCTCGTTTTCACTGTAACGCGGATACGTTTGTGACGTTTCCTTACTGTTGCTTCGTTTTCACTGTAACGCGGATACGTTTGTGACGTTTCCTTACTGTAGCCTCGTTTTCCCTGTAACGCGGATACGTTTGTGACGTTTCCTTACTGTTGCTTCGTTTTCACTGTAACGCGGATACGTTTGTGACGTTTCCTTACTGTAGCCTCTTTTTCATTGTTACATGGTTACGTTTGTGACGTTCGTTACTGTAGCCTCGTTTACATTGTTACATGGTTACGTTTTATGACATTTCTTTACTGTAGCCTCGTTTTCATTGTTACATGGTTACGTTTGTGACGTTTCTTTATTGTAGCCTCGTTTTCATTGTTACATGGTTACGTTTGTGACGTTTCTTTACTGTAGCCTCGTTTTCATTGTTACATGGTTACGTTTGTGACGTTTCTTGACTGTAACCTCGTTTTCATTGTTATATGGTTACGTTTGTGACATTTCTTTACTGTAGCCTCGTTATGGTTACGTTTGTGACGTTTACCTTCTGTAGCCTCGTTCTCATCGTAACATGGTAACGTTTATGACGTTTTCTCCCTGTAAAGCACGTTTTCACTATTACATGGATTCGTTTGTGACGTTTCTTTACTGTAGCCTCGTTATACTAGTTACGTTTGTCATGTTTCCTTTACGTGGCCTCGTTTGTATTGCAATATGGTTACGTTTGCGACATTTTCTAATTACATGTATATTCTCGTTTTGATCGAAACAAGGACACGTTTGTGAATGGTTACTCTATTTCCTGATTTACATGAACACGAACACGTTTATGACATTAAATTATTGTCTCATATTCTCCCTTATATGTTTTATCCTCTTTTTCCTCGTAACACTGATACATTTGTTAACTTAATGTATCGTAGTCTCATTTTAACTTCACCATGGTTTCATTTTTGATGTTTCTAAATTATTTCGAAGCAGAGTTGTTCGTTCCTCACATATATCACATCTGCAATATGCTGAATGACAAGAATCTTGTCAAAACGTAACATTTCTTTAATACTTTGACTTTAAATATAAGACCATAGATAAAATGCACAAATAGAAGGACGTTGTAAAGATATGATAAATTTTATCATCATTTTTATTGGAACTTTTGTCATGTCCAAGTATGCAGATGATGTCATCACGCAGATGCAAACAAAAAACTTGAAAGTGATTTTAATATAATTTTAATATGTGGTAGAAACATTATGTTTGGACCTCTGTCAGTTTGGAGGCAGTTGTCTTATTCTGGCGAGATAAATCGCAAAATTATTTATTTCCAAAATGTTAACATACGAGTACGTCAGTGCGGTTTTGGGACTACTTTCTGAGCCAACTATACTAAAGCGAATGGAATAGATTATATTTTTCTTATAAGTTTCGTTTTCATCGTTACAAAGATATGTTTGTTACGCGTTTTGTTAAAGTCTAATAGATTCTAGTACATTTGTTACGTTTTGTCATTGTAGTGTCGTTTGCATTGTAACATGCCGTTTGTGAAGTTTTCTTGTTGTTTTCTTGTTATTATCGTAACATAGTTACGTTTGTAACATTTTCTTCCCGTAGTTTCATTTTCAATGTTACATATATACGTTTGTGACGTTTTTATATTGTAGCCTCGTTTTTATTGTACTTGAAACATGCTCACGTTTTTGACGTTTTGATATAATTGTAGCCTCGTTTTAAAACTGACATGGTTACGTTTGTGACGTTTTCTTATTGTTGCCTCGTTTTCGTCGTTTCACGGTTGCGTTTGGGACGCCTTTTTTCTTTAGCCTCATTTTCACTGTTACATGGATACGTTTGTGACGTTTT